TTTTTTAATGACAGAAGCTTCTTTAATAAGTAATTAATAAACATGTATCACTGATGCCATCAAAAATCATCAAACCACAGAAAATGGGAACCTTATACCAAAGAATAGTATAACCACTGATACTCCTGTGGACTGGGGAAGTGCCTGCTCTGCTCAAGTGACAGAGCACTGGGCCTTCAGCATGTCCAGGGGATAGTCCCACTGCAATTTGTCAGCTGATTAGCAAATGTTCTTAGTGACAGGAACACACAGCCCAGGAATATAGCCTTACCCTCACACGCGGCTCAAATCACCTCAGCGCAATGTTGCTCTCCTCTCCTGGCTCCCTTTAATGGCCCCAAATGCCAAATAAACATCTTCACCATCTCTGTATCTAAATTTGGATGCAGGTATCAAGTTTGGATGCCTGATGAGACTAATTAAGTACTTTTCAGAAGTGTGAAGTAATCAGTGCTAGAATGGAAGGAAAAAAAATGAAATCCCTAGAGGTGAATCTGACATGGTTCCTGTCCCTATTGAAGTTTCATAAGATCACAGCTGAAAGAATATTCTACCATAAATTGAAGGGCTCTGTGTTAACAGCAGGAAACAAAACCTCATCTCACAACTCTTCCCCGACTAACTCAGCATACCCACCACAAATTCTAAAATCTTCACACGGCTGTATATTGCCATCTGGTGTCCAGAGGCAGGGTAACATTGAGCCCACAGGTGATATTTTTCTGCAGTCACCCTCCAAGTTCTGTTAAACTTGGCCCTTCACTGCATCAGGATTCCCGGTGTGATTCCTCATGCTACTACAGGGCATACCCACGAAAGTGTAATTATGAATTTATTTTATTGTCGTTACACTCTCATTTCGTGGCTTTCCCCAAGTACTCTGAAAATGCAAGTGTTCCCCAGGATCATTCTTTCTCCACATAGCATACATCCGACTCCCACCTTTCCTTCTCCCTGCTCTCCTCCATTATTGGGATGTGGACTCTCTATACATTTTAATAGCATTAGTTTCTGCATGAAATATAATTGGGAAGAAAGGGCTATATCAGAAATGCATCAGAATTGCTTATAACACCAACATCTGAGGGACTTTAGAATCATTTCATTTTGGAGATTCGCCATTTCCTTCCTTCTAGTTCCACAACCACACAGTGGGAGGGAGAAAGAGATGTTAATGAATAATCAAAAATAAACTGAATAAGAGAATATATTAGAAACAAAAAATAATTCTAAGGATCAATTATCTAAGGGCCCATTTCCTTCCGTGCAATCTTTAGAGTGTAAGACCGAGGGAGCCATTGCTAGCTGGGAAGCGTGAAAATTTTTGAAGATACGAGCTTTCAGATAGCAACAATTCTCTCAAAGCATTTTTAGACCTACATGACTGTCTTCGAGTCAGACTTTTTCCACACCAGGCAAAATAGAAGATTTGAGCAATTAGATGAGGTTAGGGGGTAGAAACATGAACATGGGACAGTTTTCTTAGTCTGCCTTGGACGTAGATTTGCCAGGTTGCCATGCCATATTTAAGACATACTTACACCAGAAAAAATTCACTGTTTATCTGAAACTCCAATTTACCTGAGTGTTCTGTATTTTATTGGGCATCCCTACTTGAGGTGGAACAAAAGACCTAGTTGAGAAAAAGAACTAGGCTCCTAAAGGAACTTGAGTCATTTTTATAGAAATGGTGCTTTGGTCGGGTTCCAAAGATCAATATCGAAGTAAAGGGCCAACACTGGAAGCAGTCAAATAGTACTTTGAATTTATTTAATGTTTTAAAATTTATAAACCATTTCATGTTTATTATATTATCAGATCTTCCTCATGACAACCCTGGTGTGGGTATTTTAATGCCCATTTCAAGGCTCACAGATGTTAAGGAATTGTCATCATGATCCACATGGAGCACTAGGGAAAAGCCAAAATTTGAATTCAAGTCTCCAAATATGGTGCAGTGTCTACAAATAAAGAAAATGTTCATGTGGACACTACACAAGACTTTCAATCCCTAGGCTGCACATGAAACTTCAATACCTGGCAAACCCAGTATAAAACTAACATCGTGACATATGCCTGGGAAAATGAAGATATTCTCAGAAAGAGTCACTGAGCTACCTTACATACTTGCAGCCTGTAGAATCCAGTTGGTTTTTAACCACAGATGTTCACTTTATTTCCCCAAGTACAGTGAGACATTATGCCCCTGACATAGGTTTACTCACATAGACCTCAAATCTCTAAATCTCCAACCACTGCTCTCTGTAAGCCATTTATATGTCCCAGAGATCTTCAAAAAAAATCACAAGATAGTCCAAATCTGTTTAACTTGGAGTTCATTTTCCCTGGATCTTTACATTTCAAATTTAGAAAAATGTTATTGTAATAATTCTTTTGGCTATTAACTATCAGCGTCGTTTTTAAACTGTAGAGTAGTGACAGCTAGTGTTCACAGTGTGTATTGCACTTCTCTCCAACACAGTTTTTATCTTTTTTACCTCTGGTCCTCAAACTCTAGTGTTCATAAAAATTCCCTGAGGAGCGTGTTCAAATGCAGATTCCTAAGCCCCTCGTAGATTCTGATTCTATATATATGGGGTACATTATGCAAGCCCCAGTACTGCCATCCTTTTTCCACCTCCTGGTCAATCTCATTCAAAAGAACTTTATTGTGCATATGAATCACTAGGGATCTTCTTAAAATACAGATTCTGGGACAGTAGTTTTGGGATGGAGCCAGAGATTAGGCATTTCTAACAAGCTCCCAGGTAGCTTTATACCCTCATGTTAAACCTTTCCACTTCCTTTAAGTGAAAAATGATTCAGACCACCACAGCCTGAATCCTGGGTTTACAAAATGTGATTTACAGATGGCTCCCGCTCAGTGGTTAAACAGATTTTGCTTAAATATTCTCCTCATCCTGTTTTCTGCTCTATCTACATGCTGTGAGTCCCAAAAGATAGGCACAGTCTCCTCAAGGACAAATAGCTTAGAACAAAGCAGGCCAACATCCTAATGGGAGTCATGCCTAAACCCATGGCTGTTCCTTTCTAGACCAAACCATTCGCTGGTACCAAAGAGACAGAAAGGCCCAGGGCAGTATCACCCCCTATTAGCACTGTGCATGTACATGGAAACCAAAGCTCCTTACCACATTATCACCTCCCTATAAGAATGGAGTTCAATGATGCTGATAATGATAATGTTGATGATGATGATGAAGATGATATCAGCTAACATTTATTGGTCACCTTCTAAATGCCATCCACTGTGCCAAACTCTTTACATGGATTATCTCATATAACCCTCAAAATATCTATGAGGTAGATAATATTATTGTCTCCATTTTAATGACGAGGAGAGAGACAGAGAGAAGAGCAGATAGGTAATAGTTGTATCTAATATCATATTTAAAGTCCACTGATACACCGTATGAATCATATTCAAGCAAAAACCCAAAATATTAAATTGAGGACCCCTCTACCATTATGCCTGAGAGACACATAACATTCACTCTACAACATTTCTCTATTACATTCACATGCTGCTATCTAGCAATAGATGGCTAGAATATACAAGGGGTTTCCAGGAAAATCTTGAGTTTTCTAGAAAAGACCAGAGTATATGCCTAGCTTAATGTATCAAATACTAAATAGCTATTGCAGCATTAATGCAGGCAACTTAAAAAGATGTATTCTCAACAGTTGTTACGTGACCAAGTCAAAGAATAAAAGTCAAGTGTTCACATACTTTTTCTTTTATCCATATCCTTTTTTATTTCTATTATTATCCTTCTTTTAAATGTTGTTTTGTTGCAACCAGGTAACAGTTCCATGAAATAGTTTCATTTCTTAAAATAACACAGAATATTGTCTCCAAATTTATAATGTGCTTTAGATATGCTTGCCTGAGCAGAAAATATTCCCTCTTCTCTCTTTTGGTTTTATAATCCTCTTGTCTTTACAGAAAGAGCCAGCTGCAATACTTAGTGACAACTGTATATTCCTTAATTTGCTTAAGTATGCGTCCTTTGTCATTGAGAATTAGTTTTTTCTAGAATAAAAAGGAAGCCATATGTTTATCAAAAAGCATTAATGTAGGTAGCTGTGAGAGTAAGATGAGAAGAGAGCCCCAAGGATTACATATTGGCCTCTGAACAATCTCATAATCTGGTACTTTGATCAACCTTTATAGCTCTATGAAGGCTTCACTTTGTCTCTGAAGAATAAGAACAATCCAAGAAAGAGTGAAAGGAGGAAGTCAAAAGATAACGGAAATTGGAATAACAGTTGACAGACAGCCATTCACCTCTCTCTCTTCTTAGTTTTGTTGTGGTGGAAGGAATAGAGATTTTGGAGCCAGAAGAATCTGAGTTTGAATCTCATATTTATCACTACATGGGGCTGTGTGGCATCAGGCAGTTTACTCAGCCTCAATGGGCCTCAGTTTCTTCATTTACGAAGTGTAGACACTACTACTCCCCCTGCCGAATTGTTGGGTAGATAGATGTTACGGAGGTATGGAGCCCAGAAATAGAACAAAAAGCAGCTGTTACTAATGGTAACTTGCTATTAATGGTCACCATGTCTTCACCAGTTCAACATTCTAGAAATATTTATTGATCACCTCTCTGTGGCAGAAATACAGTGAAGTCCCAGGCATACAGTGAACAAAGAGATAACGTCTCTGTCCTCAAGAGGTTTATGTTTCATCCTTTGAATAACTACGGTAATCAAAGTCTGTGCCCCCACTACTCCACTGAAACTCCTCTGGCAAAGTCACCAATGCCCTATTTATCAAATATGATGGACTGCCTTGGGTCCTCAATAAGACCTTATTGTAGCATCTAAATAATACAGAGCAATTATCTCCTTGATGTCTAGAATATTCCTCTCTCTCTCTGGATTTCCTTCCACCCTTTGCCTGAAACTTCTCAGTCTCCATTGCTAGTTTTTCTTCTTCTATTACCCCTTTAATTAATATTTCCTAGTATTCTGACCTTGGCTCTTTTCCTTTTATACTTGACACCAGTGGTTCTTGCTCTTTTCAGAGTCATGAACTCCTTTAAGAATCTGAAGAAGATATGCATCCTTTCCCTATGGGGAAAAAAAACGGATTTACTTACAAATATACAAAAATTTGCATACATTTTCAGGAGCTGACCTTCCTTCTTGTAAAGTCCATTATTGAATCCAGGTTAAGGGGTTCCTACGGCTTTAACTATTACCCATATGTCAATGACCCTCAAGTCTCTGTCTCCCACATAAACCACATTTCTGAGCAATAAGCTTACTTTCAAACGTCTTAGTGATAACTCCACATGTATGTCCCTCAGGCATCATAAAACTCAAAGTATCCCAAATCAAACTCGTTTTCTTTCTCCTAAAACCAGTTCTCCTCCTGGAAGACAATACCTGTGGGAAAGAGAACATTAGTTTCGATCCTAACAGAACTAAATTTAAATCCAGCCCTGGAAGCTTGAGTAATATACTTTAACCTCTTGGTGCTTTAATTTCTTCATATTGAACATGAGAAAAATAATAAGTCCATTTTCTGGATTGTTATGAGAATTAAAATAGATAAACAGAAAATCTCTACCCAAGTGCCCCCATAGAGAATACATTCCACAAATATTCATATTATTGGATTCCCAATCTCAGCACAAGCAACTCCATTCACCAAGTATCCAAAGTCAAAAATTTAGGAATCATCTTTAATTTGTCCCTTTTACCTCACGTGCAACCAACAGACAGCTATGCTATGTTGATTCCTCAACTTCCCTCTGCCCTTAGTTCAGGCTCTCATGTTCTTTCCCATGGATCCAGCAATAGTCTCCTATCCGGTTGATCCAATTCCATTCCTATACCCTTCCAACCTATCCTCTACACTGCAGCCAGAGGATACTCCCAAGACACAAATCTGATAACACCATGAGTCTGCTTAAATCTGCCCAGTTGCTTCTCATTGCTTCGGGATTACATCTACCTTATCATTGTACTGAAGGCTGACTATGATCTGGCCCCTTTCTACCTCCAACTTAATCCCTTGATTGCCTGTGGATCTCTCCAACTGCTCATACTGTTTTGGATTCCATACCTCTATTCATACTGCCTCCTTTGCCCGAAATGTCCTCACCCCTCTACATCTTTTCTTGGCATTCAGGCAAACACCTACTCATCTTTCAAAACAGTTCAAGCATCACTTCTTCTATGAAGTTATTCCTGACAGCCTCCCGCCACACCATTGATCACTGTCTCCTTTTATTTCCCACCTGTTCCTGACAGATGATTTTCTATCATGGCAAAGATGAATAACATATGGTTCCTAGTCTCAAAAAGCTTATAATCATCATTCAACCAGAAATCTTGTTATATAACCAGGACAAGTAAGCCAAATATAAAGAGAAATTATGAAGCATGAAAAAATAATGAGTTGTAAGTAACCGCAACACTCAGCTCAGTGGTCCCTTCTCAGAAGCCTTCTGTGACTCCCAAGCTCTGGGCTCTGTGTGTGTGTATTGCTATATACGTGTTAGCTATATATAAACTTGTTTAATCTTCACAAATAGTCTATGAGGTGGGCACTATTATTATTCCCGTTTTAGAAGTGAGAAAACTAAAGCATAAAGGGACTAAGTAACCTGCCCAACATGACCCAACTAGAAACATCAGTATGAATAAAGTACAGACTTCAGTACATTTTAAAAAGACAATTGATAAATAAAAATGATATACTATTTATAAATAAGTGTTTCGATAAATATATTTATTAAGCTTCTTAAGGACCTGGTACACAAAGAGAAAAACATAAGTGCTCTACGCTCAAACGCAGTGATTCATGAAAAACAAGTGATATGATACAACGAATAGGAGATTGTATCTCTTGGGGGGTGGGAGGAATTTATCAAATGGATCAATGATTTAAGGAACGAAAACAAACGAGCCGCCCAACCCAGCTCACGGTCCCTCGTCCCCATCCTGCCAACTCACCCCGACGTCACCTTTTTTCCGCCCACGGCGTGTGGCCTACTGTGCGCGTGCGCATCATTGGTTCGGCGCTCCTTCGCATCGATGCGCTCGGAAGCAACTTCTTCAGCCTTGTCACTGCCAGCGTTGTCGCTACCCCTGCTGCCGTCGGCGCCGCCATTTTGACGGCGGGAAGAGTCAGGGTCTGGGACAGCTGGAGGTGGTGCTGGTGACTGATACGGTTGGTTCCCGCCCGCGTGAGCCCCTCCAAATGTGCCCGTCTTCGGGCCGTAGCTCTCAGTATTGCCCCTATGCTCACAGGGCCCCTGTCGCTATCCCCGGTCGTCCTGTCACTCTGTAGGCACTTTGTCGCTTCCTCACCCTTCAGCTCAGCTCGAACTTTGCTGGGGCTGTTGTCAGGCAACCCTGACCTGGGTTAAAAGAGCCGCTTCGGCCCTCAGGACTGTACCCTGGCCGCCGGCCCCCTGTCCCGCCCGGATCGGGGCCGCGTTGTTGTCAGCGGGCACCCCGGGAGGGCTCGGGGCTGCCGGCCTCCGCGGGGAAGGCTCGGGGCCCTGGGGCGGCGGGGGCGAATTCGGGTCTCCGTGGGGTCTGGGGCAGGCTCTGACTGTGTTGGGTCGTTGGGGAGGAGCGCACAGGAGCAGAGAGCCGACGCTCCCCGAGCTGTCTGCTGTCAGAGGGTAATCCAGTTCTAGCCTGTTTTGTTTTGTCCCTTCCCAGGGGTAACTTTGCAGAAGGGAAGATATTTTGTGTCTGCCCTCTCCGCTAGCGATGGCCAATGTAAGTAAAGCAGCTTCTTAAGAAGCAGGATGGTGAAATGGTTGGGGAACTTGTTAGGAAATAGAGGGACGGACTTAATTACGATGGCAGTGGTGGTATAATACTTCTCGTGATTAGACTTAGTGTGTCAAAAATGTTAAGGGAAGCGAAGGATGGGAAATTGTGTTGGTACGCTTTGAAAGTAGGTAGAACACAAACCTTCTTTTCGGTACACTGTACTTAGTTCTCCAGATTCAATTTTTAGAAATAAGTTCAGTGCCAGCATCCTTTCAATATTTTTAAAAGGCATTCTATCAGTAAATATTTAGGATCTATTTTTAAGCTGTTTTTTATTCCTTTGGTTAACTGAAGGTTTTGTAGCAGTTTCGGTATAGGAAGTAACCTTCCAAATCCTACGAAATGGGAGCAAGAAATAATATTCACATAGACCAGAAAGATTTATTGCATGTGACTGTCCAGTGATTAGTAAGACACATCCTACCATAAAGAGTTCACATAGTAGGGGACATAAGATGTGTATTAAAACAGCTACATGAAAAAGAAGTTGAAAGCTTTAATTTTTTAAAGGCTACGCAAAGATGCGTTGCAGATTCAGAGCTTTGTGAAGAAGGAAAAGTAGGAGTTTGGCATCAGTTAATTGGAGAAGCATTTAACTTGTTTTAAAAGAGGGGTGAGGTTTCAATAATCTGAGGTTTGAGTGGGAAGAGCTGGAGGTATATCCAAAGACACTCTCCTTTCTGAATCAAGAATCGGTTCTGGCTGCCTGAATGTAAGATGTATAAAAGAGATTCCAGGAGATGAGGTTGGTTTTGGAGTTGAGATCAAGTAATCGAGAGCCCTGAATGCTGAACTCTGTAATTTAGGCTTTATTCTTTAAATCGTGGGGGTTTATTCAGAGCTGTATGTTAGGAAGATTAACATGCCAACAGTTAGCCAGGATAGTATTCCTGCAGTTAAATTTAATGATGTGACTATAGGGACAAGTTGTAAAAGTTGACCATTAGTCTTGGCCACTTTTTAAGGTGAATTTTTCGGTAGCCATAACATGCACAGAAAGGGAATGTTGTAAAAGAAGTATGTGGTACTCTCAAAGTAACGTAGTGTTCTATTAGTTAAAAAAGAAGAGAATGCTAATATTTGGTCAGGCTTTATTTTGATTTAAATCAATAAATTAGTTCAGTAGGGTGACTGTTGTGAAAGATATTTAAAAATCCTTTCATTGTGAGAAGTTCCTATTAAAATAAATTTTAATTTTAATATTCAAATGTACTTTAAGAAATTTTGTGTTAGTTTATATGCACTGTAAATTCAGAGTGGATGTTAGTAGTGAATTATGCAGATAGATGTGTCTTCAACAGTTTAGTTAGCGTGGCATAAATGGCCGTGCTTCAGAGGCTGGGCAGGTAAATTAAGAGGTGTTGGAGGAGACTGACAAACTGGAATACTCATGTCTTAGGTAAAGTGGGCAGCCTTTCCTTAGCTACAGTGATTTATTGCTATCTCATGCCATTGGGGAATGTGAATCCAGTGCTGCCAGATCTTCTGAGGTTTCAGGAGCAGCCAAAAAACTGGAACTTTTGTGTGAAATCTCACAGTTTCTCCGTGTTGATATCCATTTCAAATTTCTTGTACCACACAGACATTTCTGTAGGTGGATACCGATGCATTTTGTAGATGATCACTTTTCAGTCTCTAGTGTAGACCGAATTTTCTCCTCACATGGCCAAAAGCAGGGCTTATTCCTAAGACAGCACCTAAAAGACTGTTTGTCTTTATATACCAATAAGAATATTACAGTTAAATCTTAATAGCCTGTCATCTTCCCAAGTGTAGAATTCTAGGTTTGTTTGAAGTTAGCCATGTATAAAATACTTATCCTCGAAGTAAAATAAACTGGCTCTTCTAATTTTTGGCTATTTATTGGCTGTTACTTTTAATTATTTTATTCACCAGCTAACCCAATATCATAAAATCTGTCAAGTTTGCACAAAATATTCCACTTCCACAGTAAAGAATTTGAGAATCATATAGGATAAAAGGTAAAGTTTGAAGCAAATTAGTACCGTCACCACCTATCTTTTTCAGTGGGCAGACTAGATACTAGTTTATTTTGCCACTAAAATGGAACTTGGTAATTAGATTTTCCTAGACTGGAAACAAACTCACATTTTGTTATACAACTTTTGTTAAAAGTTTTACTGTCAAGGGGCCGGCCCAGTGTGTAGTGGTGAAGTTCACATGCTCTGCTTTGGCGGCCTGGGGTTCACAGGTTCAGATCCCAGGCATAGACCTACACACCACTCATCAAGCCATGCTGTGGAGCTGTCCCACATACAAAATAGAGGAAGATTGACACAGATGTTATCTCAGCAAGTCTTCCGCAAGCAAAAAGAGGACCATTGGCAATGGATGTTAGCTCTGGGCCAATCTTCCTTACCAAAAAAGTTTTACTATCAAGAAAAAATGTCAAAATAGAATCTAGTGCCTTTGGTTCTCAGGCTCTGAAATAATCATTAATAATACTAGGCAATTTCTAAAATAATTTGGCTAATTTTCCTTTTCCATCTGGTTTTGTTTGAGAAGTAATGTGGATGTGAAGGATCACAAATCATATTTTAATAATCATACTTAAAATAATAATGGTATATAGAATTATTATGAAAATTAAGTAAAAATAATGCACGTAAAGCAGTTAGCACAGGACATGGGCCATAGTCACTAACATCTATTGCTTATTTACTATTGTATGCTTTTAGTGAGTATTGTCACCTTCAGATAATCTTACTGAGCCTCTTAATATTGTGAGCCTTTGCTCAGATATTTTTGGAATTTAAAATTTTAAATTCCCTTTAGATCCTGAGGCATATTCTGTTAGTTGTCCTCAGTTGCAAAGGTAAATTTATATTATAGAAACACCCAAAAGTCTGAGTTTGTCTAGTGGGTAAAAACCCTACTAATCACCATTTTTGTCTCTTTGGGCAGATTGGGTACACACCCCAAGGGAAGATGCTTAAATATTCAGTTGGGCAGAATGCTCTGGAGACAAGCCTTGCACTTTGGAGACACATGATGGATGTTCTGTTTATCCAGGTCTTTAAGAAAGAGTTCAGATTTGCCAGGCCTAGAAGGAGAGAAAAAAAGGGCATTTTAGCAGAAGAAATCTTGTGGCATTATAAAAGAAGACAGAGAAAGATGGCAAATGTTGGGTAGATATTTTTATGTGACTAAAGAGTAGAGGAAGGGAAGGGGAAGTAAAATTAGTAAGAAATTATGTGAGAAAGGTAGAAGGACCAGTTAGGATGTTCTCTTTTACTTATAAGAAGAAAGAAAGTCAGAAAGAACACATGGGTTGGATTTTAGAATACCATGTGTAAGGGAAAAAGAATGATTCAGAAGTATCAAATGGAAATAGACTGTTTCAACATCCGGGTGACTAGTTTTCATACCCCATCTCTAACCCACTCCAGTCCATTCTTTATACTACCTTTAGCACTACATTCCTTGAAACATTCCTTATCTTTATCAATTTACTCTACTCCTCCCTGCCTACAGATTAAAATTCTGCCTTATTATCTTAATTTAACAGGCCCTTAACTGACTGTGTCAAATATAAAGCCTTTTGTAGTTGCCCACAAGTTAACTTTCAAGCCTGTTTTTTGCTGTACTCCCTTATATCCACCCTCACTGGACTGTCACTCTTTTGAATATACCTTTTAGGACTCTATGCCTTTGTTCCTAAAAGTCAGTCATTGTAATGCCCCTTTCTCCAGCACATTTATACTATTTCTTTAAAACCTAGTATATCCTCTGTGAAACCTTTTCCTACTCCCCCAGGGATTTCTTTTTTTGTGAGGAAGATTGGCCCTAAGCTAACATGTTGCCAATCTTCCTCCTTTTACTTGAGGATGATTGTCACTGAGCTAACATCTGTGCCAATCTTCCTCTATTTTATGTGGGATGCCACCACAGCATGGCTTGATGAGTGGTGCTAGGTTGGCGCCCAGGATCCAAACCTGTGAACCCTGGGCCAGCAAAGCAGAGTGTGCAAAGGTAACCACTATGCTAGTGGGCCAGCTCCTCCAAGGGATTTCTTAATTGTTCAAATCTTTTAATAGCATTTCACAGATGATACAGTCTATGTTCTTATATGTTTTTCACTAAATTAGAGTTGGATTTTTTTTTTAAGTAAAAGGTCAGATAGTAAATATTTTAGGCTTTGTGGGCCATAGAGTCTATGTGCAACTACTTAACTCTGCCATTATG